ATATATATATATACATATTATATGTATTAGTATATAGATGTATATGTATATATGTTACATGTATATATTATAATATATATATATAGATGTATATGTTAAACATCCCAAGGTATTCCTTCGGGATGGTTCACACCCAATTCTTTTTTGGGAAATGGCGATGACCGGTGCCGATGTGTCGCCAGGTTTTATGACCTTTCAAGGTGTGTTGGAGGGTCGAGGAGGGCAGGAGCGCGTGGTTTCACCGTCCCAAATGGGGGATGAACCGATGAACCCTGGGTGTTTACCACATGGTTTCACCGTAAAAACTGGTGAGATCAGCTCCAGTTGGCGTTGATTGTTTGGCGCCAGCTCCATTCCTAGCCCGATATTTGATAGTAAACTAGTACCTGTACCTGTTTATAGAGGATTTTCATGGATTTTCCCAAGAGGAACACATCCTTGCCATGGTTTGAGTACAAAACTGGTACAGAGTCCCTTGATTTGTTTGGCAGGCTTTGTGTCAAAATAGGAGATACCCGATTTCGTGGCCGTTAAAGAAGGGAGAACATGTGGAACAGGCTTATCAACCATGCCCGAATTCATGCGGTTTTCCATCAAAACGACATTGAACTGGCTGGCAATCCGGTATTGAGTTCGATGATCTACCCATTTAAACCATTGAGTTCGGGGATTTCCCATGGTGACGCCGGAGTCAGGAGATCGCGTCGGAGCTTTCACGGAACTTTTGGACCGTGCAGAAGGGCAATATGGCCGTGTGCCTGGGCTGGGCTTCATCCGAGATTTCAGGATTTCTAGGGGAAGACATGAAGACCTCATGGATTTTGGATGGGTTTTCTTGGGTTTTTGCCAAAGGGAATCCTAGCTTGGGGTTGAACATACAACTATAGTATAGTAGCATCCAGTAGCGAGGTTGTAAGAGATTATTGGTTTAGTTTGTGAAAAAAATAATCCAGCCAGTGGCTGGCCTGTTTTTTTTTCGCATGTGTTTTTGTTGTGCAAAAAGGGGCCCGAGACCACCATGTCCCGAGCAAACACATGTGTGATTTTTCTCAATCTAGTTGATCTATATTGATCTCCAAAGTGTTGGAAGACGCATGTAATACATTTCGGACAAGATTGATTTGACATATAAGGTTCTCCATGCATCATTCAATGATTCATGATTGTTCCTTCACACTGAATTTCCCTCACAAAACGCTGGGGTACCCCCATCCCCAAATCCCCAATTTTTTCATCCTCCCCAATATGGGCCCCGCTGAGATGACAGTCGGTCCTTGCTACCAGGGTGAAATCAAGCCACCCCGAAATGTGTGTCCGAGGCATCGTAAATGTGTTATAATTACCCCCCATGAGATTTTCTTGGAATATCCCCACTTGTTTGGAGGACATATGGGCTCTGCAAGTGGATTGTAAAACTTTTTTTGGATCCGATTCGTGGGATGCCTATCCCCATGTTTCTGGGTGAAACTGCAATTTTTCCATATTTTTTCTATGGTTTTCCTATGGTTTTCCTATGGTTTTCACATTTTTCCAAGGGTTTTTTGTTCGCCCAAAAAAGCCTCTGGAGTCATGGCTCGAGGTGGGCCCCTGCCAATCTGATCTCCTACAAATTCATCCCGGCCCGGCTCAGTCGCTACGGCATGGAACTGGGAAAATCTGAGATTTCTGAGATATCTTTGGTGAAAAGTCGAACTAAATGCTTTTGCAACAGATTGAAATCCTAGTTTTGGGCTTAAGGATGGTTGAAGATGGTTTTTCCGCGCATAAACCATTTGACTCTGAGAAAACAGGCTGAAACATGTTGAAACATGATGAAAAGTGATGGAACAATAGCGAAGAATGATATTAAAGCATGATGGACATGAATCATAATGAGCACGATGACACATGTTTTGATTATGGGGCAGGATGTTTTCATCATTTCCCCATCATTGCATTGTATAGTTTTTTTTTTCCTGCCCCATAATCAAAAAAAAATGTCATCGCGCTCATTATGATTCATGTCTAGACTCTAGACCCTCAAAAAAACACCAGTTATTGTGGGTTCCAGGTGAGGAATTGGAATATGGAAACCACTCACCATTGGACTCACCATCCAAACTTCGGACTAAGGAGTGCTCTTTGCCAATATGGTGGCCGTTTTTTGGACGTGACCTAGCTGGCTCGACGGGCTCGACGGGCAGCACTTCGAATCCCAAGAGTAGATGCTGTGGCCACAGTTACAAACATCTATCAACATCTATATACAGTTATATACATGACTATCTGTATAAAATTATTTCAGGGATCAAAATTATTTATGTGTATGTATATATATATACATGGGTATGGGTCAATACCTATTTTCATACCATTTTTAGTGGGATGAACATCCATAAATCCCTGCTATTTTGATGTGAACAAAAAAGGGGTACAAGGTTTTGACACACTGCCACATGACTATCTGGTTGGTGGTTTCAAACATGAATTTCATTTTCCATTTCATAAAAAAGGGATGGAATCATCCTTCCCATTGACTTTCACTCCATCATTTTTCAAGATGGGCACATTGCACCACCAACCAGCTATGTATGTGGCATTTTTCTTGGTTCATCTCAAATTCTGGTCCCGTTCAGGTCGTCCCAGATAGGCCGATGTGATGTGACTAAGGCTGTTTCTAATTTGGAAGACCTCCAAGCGAAGGACTGCCGATATAAAATGTGCATCTTGGTGTCGCCCCGCGAGGCGGCTTTTCCAAGGCACACTAATATATTTGGGATTATCATGGAAAACTATAGGAAAACCATAGGAAAATGGTGGTTTAATGGGATTTAATGGATTATTACCCTCTGGTAATTTAACATAGCTATGGAAAATCACCATTTTTAGTGGGAAAAACTCACTATAAATGGCCATTTTCAATAGCTATGTTAAATTACCAGAGGGTATCATGGCTTATCCTATCCAGTAAAATTAACATAGACCCTGGCAGATCGGGGTTGGAAGGTTAGTTTCCACTCCAGAGGATAATCCATCCCATCCACGTGCGTCAACACATCTGCAGCACGCCATAGCAAGCTTTGGAACGCCATGAATGCCCAGCGTTTTGTTGGGAATGATCCCCGTGGATGAAGCAACGCCATATTCTGTATGCATCCTGTGTAATAGAGTGTGAATCAGTGTGATATAATTATATATATATATATATGGTTGGTGGTTTGGAACATTTTTGATTTTCCCCAATAGTTGGGATGATGATCCAATCTGACTAATATTTTTCAGGGGGGTTGAAACCACCAATTAGATATAAATTATATTTAACTAGATATATCGTTCATATCATATATAGCATGATATACAATGTAACATAATGTAACATGGAATAATACGATATGATATGATATGATATGATATGATATGATATGATGTATTAATGTATTAATGTATATATATATATAATATACATATATATATGATGTAGGTGAATCTTTGGGACCAACCATCCCACCCCAACATGTTTACCGCAAGTTGGGTCACCTTTTTGCCGAGCCGCTGGCTCAGGACCGCCTAATGGCCCCGGCCAGATCGTCGCAAGGGAGATCATAACCATGACACAAGTGGTTTTTGTTGGTATTTTCCAATTTATATAGATATATACGTGTTCTATATATACTATTATATACTGCATTCATACTGTATATATATATAATATAATATAATATAATATAATGTAATATAATATAATATAATATAATATATATTATATTATATTATATTGTATTATATTATATTATATCATATTATATTATATTATATTATATTATAATATACACGCTATATCAGGCTATATCTATAATACATGTGGATTATATGGATGAGAAGCCACTTAACTTGGTACATGGAATGCACCTCCAAGCAACTCTGAGTTCCAAGTCACACCGAGTCGCATCGCGCTTCGGTGGTCCAAAAGTCGGGAATTCGCTTCGCTCGTTGTGCTGCGGGAGGTCGCTGGATCCATGGAATCCATGGACCTAAGGACATCTGTAGTCAATGGGAATTTCAGGATCCTAAAATGGAGGTACGTAAACGTACCATATGTTTGGCCATATGAATTGTGGGGATATTCCCTGAAATTTAGGCCTAATATATATAGGCCTTATATGGTAGGTACCTCCAATCTAGGATCCTGAAATGGCCATTGATGTAGGGAACCCTCCAGTAATTTAACATAACTTCTGGTGAATTAACAGTTGGACCCAGAAAATCCACCATTTTTTTCGTGGAAATATGAAGCAACCCCGATCTGCCAGGGTCGAAGTGTTAATTTACTGGAGGGTAGAGGGAGATACCACCATGAATTTTTTGATCATTTTCCACGTACCGTGTCCCCATGGCTTTTCCACATCGAACTGTGAACATATACTGATCGAGAGGGTATCGACTTGGGGAATACTTAAATAATGGTCTAATGAAGGCCTAAATATCTTATGTATGGTATCATGGTATATTTCAATATATATATAGGGTTTTTTCATGGATATTATTAAATAATGGTACCATTATGATAATTAAATGTACTGAAAATGCTGGGGAACTTCAGCAACGATAAACCCACCTCGTGATGTCGAACTGGGGCGATGACCAGCAGCTGCGATCGATGTCAAGACATGACTACTGTAAACATAAAGCTTATCCAAAGATCATAAACAATCACAAATCATAATGAAAAGGCAATAGCAAATCATAGAGCTATCATAAAACCTGATAAAACCATCATCAAATCTTCAAAACCATCATAAACCATCATAAAACCATCACGAAACCTTCAAAACCATCATGAAACCTTCAAAACCATCATGAAACCTTATAAAACCATCATGAAACCTTCAAAACCATCATAAGACCGATAAGACCTCACAAAATATCAAAAAACGTATATATATATATATAACACCATCAAAAAACCATCCGACCCCCAATCCATTTTCAGCATTTCTCTGTTTGTCACCTGCAGAGCCTAGGTCCTCAAGGTGGAACCGGAGAATCGGGAAGCCCAGCAACGCACGGGACGCCCAGTCCTTTGACGACTGGATGGGATATGATGGGGTAAATGGAGAACATCAGAAAAATGGACTATGATAAATGGGATATGATATATATGGGATACACCAGAAAATGGGATATATGGGATACTCTAGAAGTTTAATGGAGGATAAATGGGATATGATAGGAAAACATCTGCGAAAATCCACTCTAGATGGAGGTTTAATATTGTTTCGCTCGCTGGGAAAATCATAGGAAAACCGAAAAGGAAATCCACTGTCGATGGAGGTTGAGTTTGCTGAGGATTTATCATCGAACTGTACATGGAGGGTTTTCAATTCAAATGTTTGATTGCCATAGTGTATACTTCTAGACATCACTTTACATGTGTATGTGTATATAGATAATCCTGAAGTAGCACAAAATTAATTTGAGACAAACGTGCTCCCATTTTACTGAGGATGGTTGGTTTAGATTTCCAGTTGACAGTTTACATAGATGGTTGGAATCCGCATAGACATCTTAGTTTGTCTATTTAATAGCCAGGTGTATCCCGCCACCGTGCCTCACTGGCAGGTTGCGCCATGCTTCAGCAACAACTCAACCCGCAAGAGGATGTAACTGAGACAGGCACAGTCCGGATAGATCTGCATGAATTGGTGCTCCAATGTGTTTTTTTTTGCGGCAAACAGGACATTACCCTCTGGTTATGTCAAAATAGCTATTGAAAATGGCTATTTATAGTGGATTTTCCCATGAAAAATGGTGATTTTCCATAGTTATGTTAGTTTACCAGAGGGTACTGTGTTTGCTCTGGTGGGTGAAGTCAAGCTTTTCTGGTTGCTTTCTCTTCCTTTCACAAGAATTAGAAGATTGTCGTCCCAATTGACGTCCTAATTGACTCATGTGGGTGCCTTTTTTTTTGTTAGCTGGTGACATTCCCAATTATATGGATCATATTCTTGTTGATTCCCTGGTCAATGCACATCAAATTTTTGGGATCAGCTTCGGCATGCTCCATCCATGTGTTACAGCTTTATTCCATTGGATCTACCAGGACAAATCCCCTGTGGTATCTCCAACTGTTCATCTGCTTAAACCTAGGTGATAGTGAGAAACCCTATGGCCTTTTATTTTTCAATATTTTTCCAGCAATTATATACTGGTTGGTGGTTTGGGACATGGCTTTTATTTTTCCATATATTGGGAATTTCATCATCCCAACTGACTTTCATATTTTTCAGAGGGGTTGAAACCACCAACCAGACAGTATATATATATATATTATCCCCATATTCTATGGATATTCCCACTAATTGGAAAACAACGCCCAATTGGAAGTGTTCCATAAAGCTTCTATAGACACAACGGGTTGATCCATCGAGTGGGGTCCTAAGCCCTAAGCCTTGCCAATTGCATAATGTACGAATCGATAGAACTAAATTAGCCACATGGATCTGGGTCAAAATCGGATACAACCATCATTTTTGATGCTTAAACTACTATTTTCGATGCTTAAACCATCATGTTCGATGCTTAAACCATAATTTTTGATGCTCAAACCATCATGTTTGATGCTTAAACCATCATGTTCGATGCTTAAACCATCATTTTTGATGCTTAAACCATCATTTTTGATGCTTAAACCATCATGTTTGATGCTTAAACCATCATTTTCGATGCTTAAACCATCATTTTCGATGCTGAAACCATCATGTTCAATGCTTAAACTTAAACCATCATTTTTGATGCTTAAACTACTATTCTCGATGCTTAAACCATCATTTTTGATGCTTAAACCATCATGTTTGATGCTTAAACTACTATTTTCATGCTTAAACCATCATTTTTGATGCTTAAACCATTAATTTCGATGCTTAAACCATCATTTTCTATGCTAAAACAATCATTTTTGCTTAAACCACTATTTTCGATGCTTAAACCACTATTTTCGATGCTTAAACCATTATGTTTGATGCTTAAATTTAAACCACTATTTTGGATGCTTAAACCATCAATTTTGATGCTTAAACCATTGTTTGATGCTTAGACCATTATTTTCAATACTTTATTGAACCATCATTTTCGATGCTGAAACCATCGTTGTTGAAGCTTAAACCATCATGTTTGATGCTTAAACCACTATTTTCGATTCTTAAACCATCATTTTTGATGTTTAAACCATCATTTTTGATGCTCAAACCATCATGTTTGATGCTTAAACCAGTATTTTCGATGCTAAAACCATCATTTTTGATGCTTAAACCATCATTTTTGAATACTTTTGATGCTTAAACCATCATGTTTGATGCTTAAACCACTATTTTCGATGCTTTATTAAACCATCATTTTGATGCTTAAACTACTGTTTTGGATGCTTAAACCATCATTTTTGATGCTTAAACCATCATGTTTGATGCTTAAACCACTATTTTCGATGCTTTGTTAAACCATTATTTTCTTGCTTAAACTATCATGTTTGATGCTTAAACCACTATTTTCGATTCTTAAACCATTATGTTTGATGCTTAAACTTAAACCACTTTTTTGGATGCTTAAACCATCAATTTTGATGCTTAAACCATTGTTTGATGCCTAAACCATCATGTTTGATGCTTAAAACATTATGTTTGATGCTTAAACCACTATTTTGGATGCTTAAACCAGTATTTTTACTCAAACCATTATTTTCGTTGCTTAAACCATCATTTTTGCTTAAACCATCATGTTTGATGCTTAAACCATCATGTTTGATGCTTAAACCACTATTTTGGATTCTTAAACCATTATTTTTGCTTAAACCATCATTTTTGATGCTTAAACCATCATGTTTGATGCTTAAACCATCATTTTTGATGCTTAAACCATCATTTTAGCTTAAATCATCATTTGTGCTTAAACCACTATTTTTGATGCTTAAACCATCATTTTAGCTTAAACCATCATTTTTGCTGCTTAAACCATCATTTTTGATGCTTAAACCATCATGTTTGATGCTTAAACCATCATTTTTGCTTAAACCACTATTTTTGATGCTTAAACCATCATGTTCGATGCTTAAACTTAAACCATCATTTTTGATGCTTAACCTACTATTTTAGATGCTTAAACCATCATTTTTGATGCTGAAACTACTATTTTCGATGCTTAAACCATCATTTTTGATGCTTAAACCATCATGTTTGATGCTTAAACCACTATTTTCGATGCTTTATTAAACCATCATTTTTGATGCTTAAACCATCATGTTTGATGTTTGAACCATCGTTTTTGATGCTTAAACCATCATGTTTGATGCTTAAACCTTTATTTTCGATGCTTAAACCATCATTTTTGATGCTTAAACCATAATGTTGATGCTTAAACCATCATTTTTGATGCTTAAACCATCATTTTTGATGCTTAAACCATCATTTTTGATGCTTAAACCATCATGTTTGCTTAAACCACTATTTTTGATGCTTAAACCATCATGTTCGATGCTAAAACCATCTTTTTTGCTTAAATTACTATTTTCGATGCTTAAACCATCATTTTCGGTGCTTAAATCATCATTTTTGATGCTAAAACCATCATTTTTGAAACCATCATTTTTGACGCTTAAACCATCATGTTTGACGCTTAAACCAGTATTTTCGATGTTTTTTTTTTTTTTTTAAAAACCATGATTTTCAATGCTTAAACCATCATTTTTGATGCTTAAACCATCATGTTTGATGCTTAAACCACTATTTTCGATGCTTAAACCATCATTCCCCACCTGCCAGGTGAGGGTTGTTAGATTTTATCAGAGCTGTGCTTCTTCTCCTCCTCCTCCTTCTCCTCCACCACCTCTGCCTCCACTTCCATGTTCACTTCCGCCTTGCCAACTCTTCGCCAAGCTCTTCGCCAACTTCCGCACGCAGTGGGCAGAACATTACTTGGTTTGAGGTCGTGGACTTTACAAAACTTAGCCAATGCATTCAAGACTCTCTGGAGCACCTTTAAGCTTCAACGGTGTGGTGCTTTCCCTTCTTCTTCGCCTCGTGCAGCAATGGCGATTTCCACCGCAATAGTCCCGATCATGGAAAACTGGGCTCAATGGCAACGGTGGCCTGAGTTGCCTGACAGCCTGGCAGATGTGGAGCGCATTTGCGAGCTCCTGCGCTTGGGGCCACTGTTCGAGCAGCTGTTGGACGAAGTCCCCCGCAAACAACGGAAGGAGCTGTCATACCTGGGCGGCATTCGCATTAGTTGCTTGGATGTCGGCTACCCATGCCCTTACAGCAGCGCCGACGACACTCGCGACCCGGGCGATGCGCTGTGGGCCGAGGTATTTGATGAGCTGGTCGGCGACACTGCACGCCTTTTAGCACTGAGCGACGACACCAAAGGAGACTTCCTGGAGCTGACTTTGGGGGCTGCTGCTGTGCTTTTGGATGGCAAGATGCACCAGCTTTCGCAGCCCCTCCAGCGCTGTCTTCACGGCGCGCGGCTTGTCATCGAGGACCTGGCTCGAACGTGTGGTCTCATCCGTGCCCGCGGCACCCCCTGCTATGAAAATTACAGAACAAGACATCACAAGTCGAGAAAATTAGAAAGGCGTCGAAACAGCGAAACTGGAACCAGGAAAGAAGCCACACAATAGAAGTTTTACATCTATTCAGATGTTCCACACAGACACAACCCCCCCTACACACACACAGAAGCGTTGAGAGACAGAAGCCTGTACACACAAAAACTTTTACACACAGAACCATGTATTGAAGGTGTGAGAATTGAAGCTGTGATGTGAAGATGTGAAGATGTGAAAATGTTTGACAGACCCCCCTATTAGAAGAAGCCTTCACTCGGACGCTCTCGGGAAAAATAACATTCCCAGATTCAGTATGTTTCCCCAGATATCAGATCCCCGTTTGTTGTCCAGGTTGTTAGCAGGGCTGCTGTCAAAGGTATTTTCGGTCAAGTTGCACTCTATCGTATCTGGGTCTGTAATACTGTTTGCGGCCCGTATCCAGTCGTATTGTCTCAATGTGTGGTCTTTGTGTTCGGTGAATGTTCGGGGATAATTCATTGCTCATTCACATTCTACACAAACCAGGTGACAAAGCAGTTCAAGATGAAGCCTGTGTCGCAGTTGGTGGCCAGCTGGGACAAACCAAAAGAGTTGTGGGAAGCCCTGAAGACCGACCCGCAAGTCAGAAAGAAGCTGTGGTCCGCGAAGAGTCGCTCTGGAACAACACTCTCTCAAATGTTGATCGAGAGGACCAAAGCCCAGTGCGTGGAGGCCAACTCAAGCACCTATGAGCTTAGTGGCCCGGCGTATGACTTCTACACCTATTCGTTCTACCAGGAGAAACATGGTGAGCCCAAGCCAGAGGCGCTGTGTAAGCTGCCCGGTGAAGACGAGGTGTATGTCAAAGTCTATGCCACCTCCATGATGTTCCGTGCCTCGGCGAGAAGCAGGCCATCAATGGCAGAGCCGAACTCCTCGTCGAAACATGGCCATGGATCCCACCGCATTCTATCGCCACAAATAGGGCAGGAACTACCTCGCGAAGGGACGCATTCATTTCATGCCAATTGACCAATTGTAAGAAGATTTATAATTTTAAATTATACCTGTGCAGAAAATGCAGCGAAGCCAGCGCCGAGGGAAGGAGCTGTCCGTATCCAGAAGAAGGAAGCGTCTTCTACCACCTTGCAGAATGTGGAGAATGACCGAGATTTGGCTCCTCTCCTGTCCGACATCATGGCGAAGAGCGAAAGTACCATGGATCCGAGAGAGGCCGGGCACTGGTGATCATCATAAAGTGACAACGAAAAAGGATCTTGTAGTTCGGGGGGGGGCATTGTGGCCAATCCTCAGTCTTGCTGACCAGAGCAGCCTGCCAGGTTCATGCTGCCGTGTCAAAGCCAGGGGGATTGCATCCTGGCCAAAATTTCATTTTTCTCGGCTTCTGATGGCAGTTACAGTGACAGATGGAAAGCCCAACTTGGGCAGCAGCACACTTCTCCTGCTTCTTTGCAGGTGAACCGAAGTGGCCGCAGAGATATGAAATTCCCCGTCGCCGTCAGAAGAAAAGTGCACTGTAGAGCACATCTGTCTTGGATGAGAGCTGGGCTTTGAGTTGAATTTCCAGCTTGTGTGCCCCGGGATGTCTGTTTACATCTTGAGACATCAGGACAGACCGGCTAGGATTGGATAGACCATATACTGGAATTTGTGTGATATATATATATATATACAGCTGGCGAACCCTTTACTTTTTTTTTCGATGAGTGTGTGCTCCTTAGCACATGGTCGATTGATGTTGGCATCACTTGTGCTACAGGTCCGCAAGCTTCTTGAACTCAGACTGTACCAGGCTGTGCGGTAGGGATTTCCCAGTGCAACGTTTCCTTTGCACAGAACCTCAGCATGTGCATGATCTGATCTTAATATATGGTGCACACGCGTGGACGTGTCGGCCCAAAGGTCTCGCGATGAAGATCCATTTTTCCAAGACTTGGTTGGCAGATATTGGAAGAGTGGTTCGGCAAGGGCCTGCCCCCAGCACGTTTGTCTTTCGGCACTCAACCAGACAAAACAGTTCACGTGGGCTTTAGGGCCGACGGCTGATTGCTTTGACTCCGTGGTCTAGAGGGCAGGACAGAAGCCCATGTACTGGATAGCAGCACGGACCATAGCATGCCGACGGAAAAGGAAGCTTCGCTTGCACAGTGCTTGTTGTTTTCTTCGGCTGTGTAGAGTCACTGACTGGACTTGTCTGCTTTGCTGGGTTATTTTCTTGTATCGCCGTCGCCGTTCAACCTCTAGCTGAGCCAACTTGTCTACAACCATTCCACGCACACACGCACACCCACACTGTTCGCAATTTAGTCTACATGGCAGTTTATTCTAGCACAACATCGATTCCGGAATCGCGTGGGCCGCGATTACAAAATTTGAGGCTGCTGATTTCAGACAAGTTGTGAAATTGTTTCCAACCATGCCATCGTCCGGTGCTTTGACAGGTATGTTGCCCTTCCTTCTTTATGTCGTTTTGGTGGAGGCATGGCGCCGCAAAGTCGAGGGCTAAGGATCCTGCAGGTCGGTTATGTAATTTTCTCCATATCATCAGACAGAATTGCGCGTGCTAGCTAAGGTGCGGGCAAGAGCCTTGCAGTCTTCGAATGCTGAGGCGGGTTGTGATCGACCCTTTTATTTTTTCCAATTCGATGTTTCTTGTGCAGGCCGAGGAGGAGGTGGAGGACGAGGAACCTTACACCTACGAGGGGTGTTGGGATGCTTGGGGTCAAGAACTACAGTCCCTGACTCCGATGGAGGCGCGGACAGATAAGCAGACAATAACCTCATAGAATGTCAGATAGAATGCCAGAAGGTATGCCAGATAAAGTGCCAGAATGTTTGCCAGATAGAACGCCAGAAGATTTGCCAGATAGAGTGCCAGAAGATATGCCAGAACATATGCCAGGTAGAATGCCAGATAGAATGCCAGAAGATATGCCAGATAAAATGCCAGAAGATATGCCAGATAGAATGCCAGAAGGTATGCCAGATAGAATGTCAGATAGAATGCCAGAAGGTATGCCAGATAAAGTGCCAGAATGTTTGCCAGAACGTATGCCAGAAGATTTGCCAGATAGAATGTCAGAAGATATGCCAGATAGAGTGCCAGAAGATATGCCAGAACATATTGCAGAAGATATGTCAGATAGAATGCCAGAAGATTTGCCAGTAACAAAACGTATAGATGTCATGGTGGGGATAACTCGAAGTAAAGTAATTTTTGATGTTTAAACCATCATTTTTGATGCTCAAACCATCATGTTTGATGCTTAAACCAGCATTTTCGATGCTAAAAACATCATTTTCGATGCTTAAATCATTTTTATTGATGCTTAAACCATCATGTTTGATGCTTAAACAATCATGTTTGATGCTTGAACCACTATTTTCGATGCTTTGCCAAACCATCATTTTTGATGCTTAAACTACTGTTTTGATGCTTAAACCATCATGTTTGATGCCTAAACCACTATTTTCGATGCTTTATTAAACCATTATTTTCATGTTTAAACTATCATGTTCGATGCTTAAACAACTATTTTCGATGCTTAAACCATCATTTTTGCTTAAACCATCATTTTTGATGCTTTAACCATAATATTTGATGCTTAAACCACTATTTTTGATGCTTAAACCATCAATTTTGATGCTTAAACCATTGTTTGATGCTTAAACCATCATGTTTGATGCTTAAACCACTATTTTGAATGCTTAAACCATTATTTTTGCTTAAACCATCATTTTTTATGCTTAAACCATCATGTTTGATGTTTAAACCACTATTTTTGATGCTCAAACCATCATTTTAGCTTAAACCATCATTTTTGATGCTTAAACCATCATGTTTGATGATTAAACCACTTTTTTTGATGCTTAAACCATCATGTTTGATGCTTAAACCATTATTTTAGATGCTTAAACCATTATTTTAGATGCTTAAACCATCATTTTCGATGTTTAAATCACTATTTTTGATGCTCAAACCATCATTTTAGCTTAAACCATTATTTTTGATGCTTAAACCATCATGTTTGATGCTTAAACCATCATGTTTGATGCTTAAACCACAATTTTTGATGCTTAAACCATCATTTTTGATGCTTAAACCATCATTTTTGATGCTTAAACCATCATTTTTGATGCTTAAACCATCATTTTTGACGCTTAAACCGTCATGTTTGATGCTTAAACCATCATGTTTGATGCTTAAACCACAATTTTTGATGCTCAAACCATCATTTTTGATGCTTAAACCATCATTTTAGCTTAAACCATCATTTTTGATGCTTAAACCATCATTTTTGATGCTTAACCCATCATGTTTGATGTTTAAACCACAATTTTTGATGCTCAAACCATCATTTTTGATGCTTAACCCATCATGTTTGATGTTTAAACCACAATTTTTGATGCTCAAACCATCATGTTTGATGCTTAAACCACTATTTTTGATGCTCAAACCATGATGCTTACGTGTAAGCATCATTTTTTTATGATTTGTATTGCCTTGGCTTTCCCAATCGCGCGCCAGATCCAGCCCTGTCCACCTCGCCGGAAGAGACCATGGGACCAGAAGGACCAGAGGGACCAGAGGGACCGGAGCCATTGACAGGCCGGGAGTTTTGGAGGTTTTTTGGTAGTGGAAAAGTCATGGACAAGCGGAGTTTTGGGGATGTTAAAATGGAAGGGAACCAGATTTTTGCAGATGATTTTTGATACGAAGCTGCTGATTTATGTGTTAAAATGGCAACATGAATGGGGGTTGTGAAGGATTTTATCACATGGGTATTGTCCAAGAATGGGTTCTTTAGCTGCAATTGTCCGGGGGAAAATTGAGCCATAGGATCTACACAAGAACAGGGGTTCAGATGATTCACCAACTCTATATGGTTGACAGAAAGGCTGAACCAACAGGGGTTTTTACTTCAATTGAAATGGGACTTCTATCACCGGGCAGGTCTTTCAAACCCAACTTGAGCAGAAAATTGATCTTCTGTCGATGGTATTCTGCTTACTTTTTCCATTGCCTGGCAGGACACTCATTGTTGCGATCTCTCATAGCATTTCGAACACCCGCATATATACAGTATACATATATTATATATTATATATCTGCATAACGTGGGCAGATCTGGAGTTTGTTTGTCATTCCACAGGCAAATATTTCATATATTAGAATATCAACGACTATCTAGCTGCAAAATCACATCCCCTAAATTTGACATGGAACCCCAAAGGAAGCGGTCTAGAAGATGATTTCCCTATTCTATATTCTATCTGGTCTTTTTTTGAGTTCCATGTTGAATGCAGGGGTTGCAATTTCAGTTTTGGTGGATCTAAATGATGTTGTTTTCTGGATATCATCATGATCTTGTCGGCTTTTGATGAGCATGTTTGCCGGGTAGGCCAGGGCCCTTCGGGCCCTTCGGGAACAGAGCTGGAAGACGAAGATGAAGGCAGTCATATTGGGTCACGTTGAATCTTGAATCATTCCGAATCATGTCAAAATACGCGTTTTTAAGTCTACAATCGTGCAGATTATGTAGAGCTAAGTATTTCAAAACCACATGTTGACTGGATGTATGAGAAAAGGATGACACATGTGTATGGCCAATCGGAGACATCAACAGATCTCCAGGTGGTTCCTGGTCAAATCCTCCATGGAACTCCCCCAAATGAATAAGTTTGTCTAAGAAAAATTGGTACCCCAGACCTCATTCTACAAATGGCCATGGATTGGGGTAAACAGACCTCATTTTCCCCGTGACGATGGTTTTCGGATGGATGTCGACGAAGCCTTTATTCCTAGCACTGCAGGGGCAATACGTATAAAATCGTATAAATTCAGCCTGAAATTAGACGATTTTCAGGGGAACGAACATCCATTTGCCAGCTGTTTTGATGTTTACCAGGGGTCCAGGCCTTTGACTTATGGTCATTCATTTTTCGTTTGGCTCTTTTGATATTGACCCATATCAGGAAAAAACTTATAAATCAATGTAAATCCTGTAAATCTATACAATTCCCTGAAATATATATATATATAATTATCACCTTACAAATCATTGTAAAGCATGTATATATATATCATATATCTAATTTAAGTATATATAAACACTATTTAAAATCCATATAACCACCCTTCTAAATTCCTGTAAATCGTGTAAATCTATGTCTATATATATATATATATACATGCATCTAAACCACATATAGAATCCATGTGACAACACTATAAGTCCCTATAATTCCATTATACAAATCGAATAAATCTATTTACATCACATACCAAATTGTAGATAGCAATGAAGCAAGTGCAGAGAGTTTCACAATGCACGAGATTTGTACAGCCATCAAGGGGGCAAAGCCCAACAAACAGCCTGGTCCTGATGGAATAACCATGGAATTGATAGAATGGTTGGACAATGCCAACCGGCGCCTACTTTTAGACTTATTCAACAGTTGGTGGCATTCGAGAACTGCGCCGTCGGCATTGTTCACTGCCCGAGTTGTACCCATTTTCAAAAAGGGTGATACGGACGTAGCTTCCAATTACAGACCGGTTTCTCTACTCAACAGTTTCTATAAAATCTACATGGTTATGATCAGGGCCAGGATGCAATCAGCCACTGAGACTTTACTTTCGAAAACCCAGTACGGTTTCAGACCTAACAGATCCACATCGCATGCCATGTATGTGCTTAGACGTATACAGGACTATTCTGATATTAAGGGGGCCAACCTGAGCATTGCGTTTCTTGATTGGGAAAAAGCACTTGATAAGATTCAACATGACAAACTTATTATCGCTCTGCACCGACTGGGTTTCAATTCGCACTACACAGATGTCATCGCCGATTGTTATAGAAACCCCCAGTTCTTTGTTCAAGATAATTTTGGATGTTCTGACAGGAAGGTTCAATCCTCTGGGATTCGCCAAGGCTGCCCACTATCACCTTTTCTATTTGTTCTTGTCATGACTTGTATTGATTGGGACATACAACAAGCTGGTGTATTATGCTGATGACACTGTCCTCTTCTCCCGTAGCAACAGAGGTTTAAATGAGTTGCTGCGATACACAGAGCAATTTTCAAAAGGATATGGCCTCTCACTCAACAAAAGTCAGTGTGTTGCAATTGCAATAAACAATGACGGTTGCATTCATTTTGGAGATGGTACGCCTTTAGGCAAGGAGTTTGAGGCCATGTATTTTGGAAACGAAATCAATAGGACTGTAAATATCAAGCACGAAGTATTCAATAAGATGTCCGATGTCAGAAGAACTCGGTTTAAGTTAAGTTAGATTCTTTTGGGAAAGCTACGCGGGAAAGAAAGAAGTGGAAATTGATTATTTTTGACGCCATAATTCGGAGTAAGCGTTTATGTGGGTTGGAAACGCAGGCCTTGAGTAAATCGTTAGACACTTTCCAAATGAGAAGCTTGAGAAAGATTCTTCAAAGACCATCGAGTTTTGCAGATCGCCGTTATACAAATCAGAAAATATTAGATGAAGCAACTTCGGTTGCATTTCCGACTCGCGGTGATAACAGAAAGATAACTCGGTTTAGTGAATATCACATGAACAGACGAGCCAAACTACTTGGACACATCCTCAGAAGTAGCAACGACGACCCCATGAGACAAGTGTCTTTCTTACCACATTCTGCTTCAAGAGTTGACTGGAAAAAAACGAGTCGGAAAACCGAGGCAAAACTGGCTGCATCACACGACAAGGTTTGTCTACGAGCAAGTTCTCGGATATCATAATTTTGACGAACATACCGATGATAATTGTGTGTATGCAGCTGCTATGAGTAGATCTTTTTAAGCAAGCTCACCTGATTCCTTGATTGCGCCAACGCCCTGCATTGAGTCCGTCCGGACTGGTCGGCGCAGAGTACGGCTGGGAAAAAAAATCACATAAATCACATATAACATGCCATATAAAATCCATATAATTTCCCATACCTCCTTGTAAATCAACCCCATAGATCTAAATAAATAAATTCCATATAACCCCCCTCGAAATCTAAATCCTGTAAAATTCCGAAAAGCACATCTCAAATCCATACACCCCCACTATAAATCCCTAGATCAATCCCATTGATGTATATGAATCTGTAAATAAATCATCATAAATCCCATCCTAAATCCTTCATTTTCTCCCAGGCGTGGACCATGCCTCCACCACCCAGCTGATCTCTTCGGCGGCCGAGTACATACAGCGGGCGCCGAGCGCTGGAGGGGGGAATCAGCAGTGGCTGCCCCTGTTGGAAACCCTGTTGGTTGATGATTATATAGTATATATATATTTCAACTATATATATATATACCATATATACCATAATAGCCATTTAATAAGATTTTGATAGCTATATAGCCATATAAATAGTATTGTTAACTATATACTCGTAGTATAGATATATATTATAGCCATTTAATAGGATTTTAACCATCAAACTCTGGGGATATAAGATGATATAACTGAATATCACTGATAAACGATGGTTGACGATAAGTTCGGGGATTATACTAAAATGGGGTACCACAAATCATACCAATGTATTTTAGTATATTTTAGTAGTGAAACCCATTTTCTTTGTGGATCTCCCATTTTCAGAAACCGCAATTTTCCTGTACACCCTGGCTTGTTGAGGTTGAGATATGTTGAGATCTTTCTCGACTAAGCCTGGTTTGTTCAGGTGTGTCTTCTGTTTTTGGCAATCTTTATGGGGATTGAATGGGATGTACATACGAACTGGCGAACAACTTAGCTTTTTGCATGGTGTCTCAGATTAGCCAAAGTCTGGGGCTGCGCGCAGGGATTTTGCTGAGCTCATAGAAACATGCCCACAATGTTGACGCATTTTAAAATGGAAACAGGAGCAGTTGGGAGTTTAACAAGGATACGCACATGATTGCATGGGCAAGATCCTCATGATGTGTCATGTTCGAATTAGAAAATTAGATTCATACCATCTCTGATAATTAAGACAACTCTTATAGTATATAGCAATAAGTATAATCATTATTACTATGGAATTGGATTTATACTATATATATATATATATCCGTTTTGTTAGTAATATCTTTGTTTCTTTAGTAATGTCCCTATTTTACTGGGATGCATATCTGAATATCTGCATGTTTGATGGTGATGTCTGCATTTTTGTTGGTTCCCGTCCTCCCTATGTTGGGGTTCAATCAACAGGGAAGAAAGGTCTTTCCCGTCGAATAGGAGAGTTTCCTGTAAATATTGGAAGTATTGCCGCAAACCAATCCAATGTCGCTTTGCTTGTTCATATCACCAGTTGGCTTTTGTCATGTTTTGTCTGCAATGTTCTATCATTTCCCATCGTTTCCTGGCTAAATTTGCAATCCTTTGAGGTGATATACTCCATTTTCTGACAAACCCAAACGAACCATACGCCCATTCTTGCGGGTGAAAAAACTCATGTTCATTGGATAATTCCTCGCCATTTTTTGTGAACAGATCCCCAACTTTCTATCAGGCTGATTACATAGTTATATATCATGAAGTATCACCATTATCACCATGAAATATCCTATGATATATCCCCATTGATGGATGATTTTCCATGATTTTCTCATATCAACAATTTCCCCCACTCCCACTTCATGTTCCCATTACATACCCATTCTCCCGTTAGTGCACATTTTTTGAAATTTGTACATGGCTTTTCTCGTCCGCCAGGGAGACTATGCGTCTGCTTTGCAGATTTATAGCTACGTTGGGAACACAGATGACGTGGCACGAGTTCGGATCAGCTTGAGGATTGAGATTTACCCTCTGGTAATTTAACATAGCTATTGAAAATAGCCATTTATAGTGAATTTTCGCATGAAAAATGGTGATTTTCCATAGTTATGTTAGTTTACCAGAGGGTAACCACCAAAGATGTGGACGTTTTTGGGCAGACACGTTTTTTTTGTTTTTCTTCGCAGTTTGCTGATGTCACCAGGGAAAACGATGAAAACGGCGGTGATTTCACCAACAACAAGCGGGTTTCATCATCCATGGGGAAGCGATGAACACATGGATTTCACCATTGGATTCCAGTGATGAACATGCCTTTTTTGAGTTGGGAACTGATTGGGATGAGCTCCCTCAACATAGAGCACATGTTTTTCGGAGCATCAATATCTTTGACTGAGACGATGAGTTGTTCAAAGGATTGCTGGATGATACCCGGGTGAATTACAATGAGCTCGCAACAACCTCACTGGCTGGTCAAGCCCAATACATGATGGTTAATATGATTACTCTTGCAAATGGATCCAGTTTGGATTCAGGTGGGTAAAAGCACACGGACTGGTGGTTGCTGATAGGAATTTAACAAATATGTATATATATATACACATATTATTAGAGTATGTATATATATACATTACTGTATATTAGAGTATGTATATATATATATATATATCTAGAAGTGGCAAAAACTACTGCGTCATTTTTTTTGCATCAACTGGAATGATTGGTGGTTCATTGGAGGCATCCCATTGAGGCCTGTAGGACGTGTCGCTCCTGGGAGTCGCCAGTGGTCGAGTTGAAGGCGAGAAAAAACGCCAGGGGCCAGGGCACTGAAGATGTTAGGGGAAGGGACTGGGCTATAAAGAAATGGGCTATGAAGATTTGAAACAAAAACGTCAAATGTCGTGGAATCAATGACTTTGAAGAATTTTAAAGATGTCAGATGTCGTGGCATTAGTGACTTTAAAGAATTTAAACGTCAAATGTCGTAGAATCAGTGACTTTAAAGATTTTTAAAGATGTCAAATGTCGTGGTATCAGTGACTTTAAAGAATTTTAAAGTTGCCATTGCCACGCTTGATTACCAGAGGGTAAATCCCATAACATCACCATTAAATCCCATTGAAATCCCATCAAACTCCCATGAAATCCCAAAAGAATACCCAAACAATCCCTTGAGCACCCTTTAGACTCCCATTCAATCTCCAAAAAAACCTCTAAACTCGCATAAAGTCCCCAAAAGATCCCTCTAAACATCCCATTAAACATCCCATTAAATCATATCAAATCCCATCAAATTAATCGCGTGAAATCCATGAATCCGAAATCCAGAAGATCCCATGAAATCGCCAGTCCCTAAAAAGATACCCTAAAAAGACTCCCATTGAATCCTATGAAATCGCCATGAAATCCCTATAGAATCCGTATAAACTCAAATTATATAAATGCCAGTAAATCCAATTCATTCCGTAAGAAAATCAAATGAAATCCCATTAAATCCCTATAAAGTCACCATTAAATGCCCATTAAATCATCATGAAATGCCTTAAAAAATCCCATTATATCCCATTAAACTCCCATTAGATCCCTATTAAATCATTATGAAACCCCAATAGATCCCATAAGATCCTATTAAAATCCATTAAATCCCATTAAATCCCATTAAATCACTATTAAATCACTGTAAACAATCCATAAAAAGCTCCCTATTTTTTTTTTACTGGATCCAGTTTTTTCCTGGTCGCCAGGTCTTGAGTAACACTTCACTATGCCTCCAAAATCTTCGCGGGCGCTTACCCGAGCTGGTGCAGGTGGGTTCCTCCAAGTTATGGTGATTGGAATCGATTCCCTCCCTCTTCCGGGAGATCGGTTGTGGTGATTTAATGGGATATCAACTATGGGAACATCATATACTGCAATGTTCATAAGCAATGTCATCAACCACCCATACGGATTGATGGTTCCTAGCACCTTTTTTTTGATGGTTACTGGTTGATTTTGGGGGATGGTTTACTAAGTTTACTATTGCTTTGCTAACATTATAAAGATAAACTTTGTGCCTAAGAAGCAGGTGCTTACGATCTATAGGGTTATGATTCATTGTTGTTGGCTTATAATTTCTATTAGTACTCAATTATATAACATTGTATAAATGATTATAGATGAATATTTCAATTTCATCCTTCTGATTGTTCATGGCTTCGAAGGGTGACCATCATTCCATCATCGTATCATCGTGGTTTCGGCCAGGCGTGCAATGACACCCTGCGGCGTATCAGGGAGATACGAGAAGATGGATGGCAGGACAAGCGGCCTGTTCGCAGCCATTTGCTGACGCTGGATAGTGTTGGATAGGGTTGGATCATCCCATGTGCTCAATCCCCAATGGAACTGCGCTGAACTCCGTTAGAGCACTGTGGATGAAGGATGAAGGTATGACTCCCTGGGTCCGGTACCAGAAATCCCAAGGTTTGGACTTTGGATCATGAGAGTCCGGCTTACTATACATACCTGGAACCCAGAGGACCTGTTTTGAATGGTGAATCCGAAGTCGTCTTATGAGTCAAAACCTCCAGTCGGCAAGGATCATTTGGCTTCCAGGTAGTCACCGGTATAGGATTGGTGAATTACTCTGATATTACTTATCCCATCGTATCCCTATGATATCCCCATTATATTCATTTAGGTGGAATTCAATTCATGTAAGGTGCTTCATAAAAAACGCCAATAGTTTAGAAGAACGTGCCCCATATCCCCCTAGAATATCCATCAATATCCACCCCATTTGGTGATAAATCACATTTATATTATGTGTATTAATATATAAAATGATATAAACATATTCATGATTATCATTATTATCACTATTCGTGTTTTTTTTATTTATCCCAGTTTATATGCCAATCCCCATGATTTTTCAAGCCATCAACTGCTGGGTCAATGGCGCTGATTCAGTGTTTTTCAGGACGAGCTGTTCCTGCTGCGGATTGAGGCAGCATGCTTGTCACGCCGGGGCAGCACCTTGGCTGCAGCGGTTTTGGGAGAATATGACTATAGTTCATGGGAAAACCATAGGAAAACCATAGGAAAATGGAGGGTTTAATGGGAAAACCATAAAACCATAGGAAAATGGAGTTTTACCCTCTGGTCAACGTTTACATAACTATGGAAATATCCACCATTTTATAGCTGGGGAAATCAACTATTTCGACTGGGCCATGTTCAATAGCTATGTTAGTTTACCAGAGGGTATTGGTTTAACCAAAAAAACTGGGGAGTTTTTATGGGATTTATAAGATGCAAATAGCTGATTTGCGTGGTTTATAATCCATGAATCTAACCCATATTTCATCCCACAGGCAAAATATTCCAGTAACTGGGTGGCCCATTTACGATGCGTGGGACGTACCCGCTTAAGTAACTAGTGGGTTAATGAGGTTGAATCCCATCCCCCGGAATCTTTTTTATACCTCCATGGTTTCTTTACACAAGTGTAAATCTCCTAATTTATGGCTTCAATTTTGTGGGTGTTTATATTAGGACTTATTAGGGGGAAGGGGAAAACATGATTTTTACAGGACAGGTGAAAAAGCGGACAGCTGGGCGAAAGTTTGGTGATCAATCCCATGGCCAGGCCTTCGCAATCTGCACTGACACGGTCACCGGTCACCTTCTTTTCTTCTGTTCGTCCTTTTTTCGTTTTCTGTGGCAAAAACGTGGTTTAATATGGTTTAATATGTCTTCTCCTCCCCATGAACTCTTTGAGGTACTCAAGCCTGATGAAAAAGTAGTTTTGTACCCATATCAATCATGTCTTGGCCAGGAATGCTTCCAATCATCCGTTCGCCTGTCTCACCTGCTGGCATATCCTGATCGCATCTTCAATTGCTATTTTTTTCTTTTTTTGGGGATGACACCACTGAGCTTGTCAGGAGCAGCTTCCGAACCCGTTTTTTTAAATGGTAGTAACCCATAGGTTTTTCCATGCAATGTTACCATTATCTCGTATACCCATTATATTCCTGCTATACATCCTCGACTATTCGTTTAATCCAGGGGTTGCTTTAAACATATAACATGGTGCTTATCCCATGACCCATCCTCTCAGTTCCGCTAAGGTGCCTACGAACAGCAGCGGAAGAAGGAAGAAAGCGCTGAGGTGCGGGGTTCTCATATGCCAACAGGAAAACAGACATACGTATCATACGTTTGTTTAGGACATTTTGTTTAGGATACCTGGGAAACCACAGTTTTATACAGAACTGAAATGATCTAAAATAGGGATAGCCCCAAATCATCCAAGTCATGAGACCATTTTGGTATTGAAACCCATGCTGTTTTGGGGATTCTCCATTTTAGGAAACTGCCACATAGTTTGGTGTGAAGCTATGCCCATCCTATTTGGGATCATAACCTGTCATTGACTAATATGTTTAACAGGCATTGAAACCACCAGTCACATAAATACATGCACCTTGGTTAAGTCATAAATTATGTTCAGTACGGGGGAACTATCCGAACTATGATAATTTGCCAGTCACACAACCAGTTGCCGCAATCTCTTGAATTTAATAAAACAATACTCCGGTTCAATATTGGATATCTTCATTTGGGGGTTCCATGTCTAAATCTCAGATCAATATGGTGTCCATCTTGGGGCGGATCCGGTGCTGCTCCGGTGGGCGAACCTTGATGGCCCTACAGGATGCCGCCCGCGTCAAAGAGTTGCTGGGGAAAATTGCGGAGGTGGAGGCAGTGCCGTAGATGGCGCAGCTGCCCGAGGCGGTGAGACGCAAGGACTGATGGACTGATCTCAAGGATCCAAGGTCATTTTAAGATGAGGGTTTACTTGATTAATAACAATGTTCAACATTGTTCAACCAGCTCAGAGTCATCAAAAGAACTGCCCTTGACTTTCACCATCTACTCTGAGGCGTCGCGTCGTGCGCGGCATGCGCGGCATGCGCGGCGCCTGACCCTTCCCAAAACGGGGGGGTTTGGCCGGTGCTGGCGTGCGCAACAGCTACATCACACCTCTGAGATCGACTTTGGCTCTAGGAATTGGGGTACCTTGAGGACGCCCAACAGGCAATTGGATTTTTTGGGGACAGAAACCATGCATTTTCTGGGGGGTTAACAACTTTAATTAGCCAGAGAGCAATATCCAAATTCAGGTCCGACAAGCACCTGCAGTGATCAGAGGTGGGGTGTGAAAGCACGTTTTCAACTGCAAAGAGTTCATTTTCTAGTTGAATTTGAGACTGCCAGGGGCCAAATCAGGCACCTTTCCGCAACACCTTCAGTGAGTCTTTTCTGATGAGTTCTTCAGGCCATCAGCAACAGCAGACCTTTCAGGTTCGTTTAATCATTGCAATAAACATTCTGCGACAGTTATTGTCAACAGTGTCAACACTATAGCGATGTTGTTTGTTGTCTCACCATTGTTGCACATGCAGTCACCATGGTCCAGTTTTGTTTTTTTTGTGCTTGGAGGATCATCCCAATTAGTGAATAACCCTAGTCAGTGAGCTTTTGATTCGTGGGGCTATCCCGGATATACTTTGTGGTACTTTGTGACGCTTTGGAATCCGCAGGGAATTTGCACACCACGTGGCTCGAAAGAAATTTAAAGAAATGCAGGGAAAGCCTCAGCGAAACGTTGCGTGCGGAAAATTCACCACGACTGATGTTGTCACAGAAAAGGCAGAGCCCAGTCTAAGCACAATCTATGAGGCTGGGTTCGTATTCATCATCAATATGTATATCATACATATAATGTAATAATACATACATACATACATTGCATTGCATTGCACTGCATTGCATTGCATTGCATTACAATACATTACATTACATTACATTACTACATTACTACATTACTACATTACTACATTACTGCATTAATAAATAAATACATACATACATGCATACAGACATACAGACATACAGACATACATACTATACATACATACATACATACATACATACATACAGACAGACAGACAGACATACATACATACATACATACTGCGAATAGAGTGTAGGCTACGGACCATTGTATATTATCACATAATTCGACACTCTAGGATCCAGTACCAAAGGGGCACTTCAAACTGGCCTCTTTGGCTCAAGACCCACTGCAGCACCAGAACAAAGAACTGCCATGCGGAAGCTGTTGCCCGTGTAACGTCATCATTGGAGCATTCATTGCAAACACAACCACTGGAACATAATCGGGTAAGCAATCCCCGGTTCGCAGGTTATCAGCCGTAGGACTCCTACGGAGCCTACGAGCGGGGAGCCGCGGGCCTTACAGATGACTGAACAGGATAGCAGCGATAATGCATTTTCTTTCTCTGGACATGCCGTTGCACCAGCTGCCGGCACGCAGTCAAATTCTTCACAGAGTATCGACACTGGTGGAAGCGATGCCTCAGAACTGAGAACAAGCCAACCCAGGCGACATCTGGTTGCTCCTAGAGGGAGACAAATTTCGACAATGCAAGCAATTGAAGATAGGGACAGCACACCTGGAAAGAGAAGATCATCTGCACGACAATTGTCGCCTCCGATGACTCCAAGGACTAAGGCAAAGACTACGTCGTCGAATCCGCCTTCACCGATTCAGGACGCTACTCCATCAGGGACAGGATCTTATCAGCAAGTGAACGCCCCGTCAAGTGGTAGCGACATCTTCACTGCCTATCAGAGTGAGTTAGCAGAATACAAGACATCACTGGAGAGGGCCACTGAAGAAGAATCCGTACTTCAGGCAAGATTGAGCGAGACGACAGCATATGCCTATCAACAATTTAATTTCCTGGAAAGCACCACTCATCAAGAGATGATGTCGATGACCGAACAACTCCAGATGCTGAACTTCGAGTTACAGGCTGCACAACAGGAAGATGAAGGTGCGACCTACAGGATCGAAGAGTTGGAAAGATATCAGACTATGTCGAATGAAGCCGCATCTCATTTGGAATTCAAATATTCACGACTACGTTCGGAATTCGATGAACAAATGGGACAAGCAAACGCAATTATGGTACATGTGGGAACTGACGCGAATGCTCACATCAATCAACTCAGACTGGAACTGGAAAACGCAGAGATGAATGCCAAGCAAGAAGCTCTAGCAGTCGGCTATGCTAATGACCAAACATGTGCTTTGCAGATCGAGATGCTCGAGGTTGCCAATCAGAACCAGACGATGAAGCACACCATGGCCATGAATGTCAGGCGACTGGAAACTGAGTTAGATGCTGCTGACATGAAGAGGGACGAGATCATGAAGGAGTTCCGTAGTAACATAAGATCTGAACATGACCGTTATGCAGAATGTGAACATCACTTAGCTTTGGAAGAATCACAGCTTCGATTACAGGTGATCCACAGTGAGAACTTACAATCTCGACTAGCGATTTCTGAGAACAGGGTTTCTGAAGAATCTCTAGCTGAATCAGGTGGCATGCGGGACATGAGGATAATGGGACTACGTTCTGAACTACACATGAAACAAAGTCTTTTAGATCGAATGCAACAGCAACTGACTGAATCGAAGAATCAGTATCATGAACTTTCCTGTCAACAAGCCAGAAGATCTTCACCAAGCAGATCACCGCATGGAGGACCTCTATACGAGATGTACATGCAAGCCGTGCGTGAACGTGACAGCTTGAAAGAATCCAAGGCCGAAGTTGACAAGTTGTACTTGCAGAATAGATCTGAACTCATTGACACTGAGGACCTGCTCAAAGTCTTCCAGCGAAACTTTGATGAAACTGGTAAGAAATATCAAGATGCTCTGAACAAGATCGATCACATGAGCAACAATCCGAATGTGACGAGTACCTTGTTTGACAGTTTGCACAATGAACTCAATGACAGGGATACAGCTATTGCTCGCCTTCATACTGAACTTGAAGCCCAAAAGGACTCTCTTGAGCGTGCTCACAGGGATGCAGGTAAGTCCATCAAGATGTTGAACGACAGAAGACTCGTGATCAAAGGTGCGACTGACTATTCCATTCCCGAAAGCCATTTGACCGAGATGCATCAACTGGCCAATGAGCGTTACGCTGAGGTAGAAGAAATGACGAGTACCATTGCAGCCCTGAAATTGGAAAACCAAGCTCATTCTTCTTCATCAAAGAATAGACCGACTACGTTACATGGGTACCCCAGTAATGCTATGCCTCGGAATGAATGTGAAGAGAAGTGTGCTAAACTGAAAGCAGAGTTGGACGAGATGAAGCAAGAGAAGAACAATGAAGTTCGAAATCTTCAAGATGAGTTGAAGAAGATGGAAGATCGGAAAGATTACTACAAGAACAATTTCTCTCAAGCTGAAGATCGTGCCAATGATGAAGAGCAGGAATACCGAGCAGAAGCTGAAGCCTTCGAGAAGCTCAGGAACGAGTACGACACCAATGTCAGGGAGTTGGAGAACCTTGAAAGGGATAGATCCAAGTCATCCGTATCTCTAAGAGAAGCCGAAAGATCAGCCTCCAACCCTGGCCTAAGACCACTGAACTTTCATCCTGGAAGGGAAGTGTCGTTCATGAAGTTTGCGTTGCAAGTGGAGATCGAAACTATGAAGATTGGAAAGCGTGGCTTGCTCCGTGTCTTGCAGATCAACCTGACTTGGAGACGCTGGCCAAAGCTCCTGATGTAAGATTCCAATCCATTGATGCCAAGCTCTCCAATGCCTTGAGGAAAGTCATTGACAATGCTGGGGACAAGTCCATGCAAGTGAAGTATGACATGTCCATGAAGAACCAATTGTATGGGAGAAGTGGGGACTTCATCAAGGGACGAGAACTATTTGCAATGATATTGATTAGCTTCAAGTCACCTGACCACACTGAAGTTCTCTACAATGCCCATTTATATATGTTCAACTACTATGGAGACGATCAACTTGAGGCATTCTACAACAAGTGGCTTGACATCGTATACAATATGAAACATGATGATCTGCCTTCCAACAATTCCCTGCGTGACACATTGTTCCGGAAGATTGAACATTCAAAGCTTATGGCCTTCGATATCAACCGATACAAAACCTTTGATGAAGGGCATCATGAGAAGACCTATAGTTACCTAACTGGTATGATCAAGGGATACATAGCACGAGGGAAGCAAGAACGACTGTTGAAGGATAGAGAACGTGCAGTGAAACTGTCATTGTCATCTAACAAGACGACACCTGCCTTAGAAGATGCAGACAAGCCTGCCGCTCCCGTCAAGACCAAGAAGGAGAATGAAGCAGCTGCATCGTCTACAGGTGATCCTCCCAAACGGCCTAAGGCGAAAGCGAAGAGTGAAGCTGCATCAGTACTTCCTACACCTTCTCCGAAATCTCGTGCCGACAAGAACAACAAGAAAGGCAAAGGTGGGAAGGGGAGATCATCTTCACCCGTTGACAAGAAGAAGATTTTCTGTAACTACTTCTTCAATAAAGGAGGATGCAACAAAGGTGACAAATGTCTTTACAGTCATTCTCAGAAGGTCTATGATGCCAAGATGAAAGGTAAGAAAGGCAAAAGCGGAAGTCGAGATTCATCAAGAGGGAAAGGTAGAGGAAGTTCATCTTCAGCTGGACCCAAAAAAGAAGGTATGTTGGAATTGGCAAGAGGGTACCTGCAAGTTCGGAAGCAAATGTAAATTCCTGCATGCAGATAAATCGCCTTCAGCATCCTCAGAGAGAACCAGCAAGAAGACACCAAAGAAGAAGGCGACTCCCATTACCATTGATTCCTTCTTTGATAGCGACAATGAAGATTCTATGGATTATACCTCACCGAGGATAGCCAGCGCAAAGAAGTCTTCTGATGATCGCAGGATCTCATTTGATCTGGAACCTGAAGTGCACGAGATCGCCATTGAGGACTACCAGGAGGGACTACCCAAACGTATGTATCGTGACCCCAACAAGCAGTATGTCTTCTGGAAAGTCGATGATTTGACCGACGATCAGTCCAAGTCCGACAACACCCTCGGTTCAGTCCGAGCACGGGCAAAGGCTATCATCATGGACAGATGTGGACT